GAAGTACTTTAATTTACAATTTTGAAGCTATGTACGTCATTTTTTAAATGACGGAAATTTGAAAGTGACGTCTAACATATATATATTTATATAATTGATTTGATCAATTTGACCAGTTCGACCATTTGACCAATTTGACCAGTAAATTTTTGGTCGACCACTAATTTGCCCAACACTGATCGCCATCTATCGAGAGCTAAGTTATGATTTCACACTCATACAGGAAGATCCCAAAAATGCCTGGTCGGAATGCATCAGAATCCTGGTCGGCAGGGCCGGAAATGATCGATTTGCCCAAAATCACTAATAATTTTACTAATGAAATCGTGGCTATTTATTAAGTGAAAAGTGCCCAGCTGATAATTTTGCTATAGAATCTACTAACCACTAGGGCTAAATGCCGACCTAAATCCGACCAGGAATTTTGGGGATTGCTCTGTAAAAATCTGATTTCACATTTTATTATGCAAGGTTTGACATATTTTATCTAAACATTAAAAAAATCATATAACCACTAGAGATGGTAAAAAAATAGTTTAAAATATTTTCTGTTTTTTAACTAAGACTGTTCTCAAGTATCTAAATCAATTGATCAGATAATAATCGTGATGACGCTCAAGCATCACAATTGATGACGATATTTATAGAATTAAATGCTTGAGCATACTTTTTCTGTTTTTCGTAATGTTCGCTTACTACCTAAAAAACCTAAAGTTTCAACTTTAGTTACGTCAGCTCCTCCTTTTTAATGATTTTAACAATTTAAATTTCTTTATTATCCATCAAATATCTACCCAAACCTTTCAGTTTTAGGTCTTCTTTACTGAGAAGATTTAATTTAAATGAGTGAAAAATGGAAAACCAGTATTCATTATGGTTTGGTTAAACGTTAAAAGATTGTTGTATTTATATTAATGTATTGATTATTTGTTTTAAAAGCTTCGAACATAAAAAATAAAGTGGCTATCTTTTTATACCAGTTAGAAATTTGTTGAGAATTAATTATTTATTATGTTTATGTAAAAAATGTAAAAGTAATGCTTGAGCGACCTTTATCAATGATAAATTTTTTGAAGAAAAAAGGTGGTTTGTGTCTCGCTGATCTGTTCATCAAATTGGTACCTCACTTGGTTAATTTATTTAATTTCCGACTAATTAAAATTTACTTCCGATCCATTGAGTGAAGTGCTTGAGAACGCCCTAAATCTATTCTTTTGCTCGCTCAAGTGCGGATATATGTGCATCAAGAGTTGAAAGAATTTGATCCCAGGAAATAAAAATTTCCGATAGTATGTTGACCTAAAAAATTATTCAAGTTTGGTCAAAGATAATAAAGGTAGATTTAGTAGATTAAAGGAAAGTCCGGTCATTGATAAAGGATACAAATATATTATATTTGTCCAACAAAGACGTTATGCGAGCAGAAGTTTCTTCAGCCCTAGCCACTTGGTCGATGTGACTGGTTTCAATGGGTGTAACCTGAGGAAAGAGCTTATCAAAGCCTTAATAAAATAATAAATTTTAACCGATGACCAATTTAGATAAAGTCATTATACTTCTTATTGCATTTATATTATAAACGGTTTAACCAACCTTTAAATTCTGGAGCTTCGATAATTTCTTGTAAATCTTTAATTTGTCCTAAATTTTCGGCTATTAACTTTAATTCTTCCTCAGAAGAGCAAACGATTTCAGCTTTAGCTTCGGGTGTAAGTACAACTCTCTCCATTGCGAGTGCAGAATCTTTGAACGGAGAAACGAGGTCCGATACCTGATCGTCTATTAACACAATGTAATTTTTATTAAATAGCAAGTTATTAAGAAAATAAAGACACAGTCGACTCTCTTTAAGTGCATAATCTCTAAATGCAGCTATAATAAATTCTCTAAATGCAAGGTCTTCTTAGTTAAGTTCTAATAAGTTGTACTTAGAGAGAGTCGACTATAAAGTTCTACTGAAATGAATAGTAAACAAAATAAAGTAAAAATAAATATTTACAAATCTCGAGAAACGATTTCAATCCGTCAGCCTCATCACGTATGGTTGTATTAAACACCTTTTTGATCTCATCAACTCGCTTTAATAATGCCTGTTGCTCCTTCAACTTTTCATGTACTGACGGTCTTTTTGAAATTGCGTCAAAACCAAAGATCGACTTTTCCAAATGATGAACTCGAAACTCCAAAGTAGAAATACTTTGTCGCTCAATTAATGTATCTTCAGCATGAACCATATTAACAGGTGTTAGTTTTTCTGCTACAGTTTCTTCGTGTTCGTTGTCACTTATAGAAGAAGTGTCGTCGTTGGTTCCAAGCCAGCCTTTTAGTTTATTAGCGCTATTTACTATTAAGTTCTTCTGATCTTCTAATAAAGAAAGTCTTTTTACAAGTTCCCCACTTTCCAATGGCATAGCGATTATGATGCTTATTTATTTGACACCCCAGGGTAGCTTTATATGAAATTACATGAAATACATTAGGCAGCTATGTTTGTTACAAATAAAGTAATGAATGTAGCAAACTATGCCTTAATAGTTAATTATCTTCTACAAAATCGTATGACTTATGCTTTTTATCTCATGGTTTAGTTTCTGTTCTAACATGATACGTATGATACGTATCACTTGTTGACTCAGGTTTAGCGTTAGCTTAATCTCATGTGATATTCTTTTAATAGATTTTATGTTCGAAGCAAAAAAAAAATCTTTTTTCGACCTATTGCAAACAGGATGACATCTAAAATTTACTTTTTTGATTCTTTACACTTGTCACATCTAAAATTTCACGCATCGTTTGAAACATGTGCTAGGTTTGTGGCGCAAATTTTGCTGGACGTAAATGTTGATGTGTTAGGGTTACGTAGCATTTATATTAGGGTTAGATATTAATAAAATTGTCTTTTTGTTAGAGCACTGTAACGTAGAATTCAAAACAAAAAAATCCGTTTTATCAAAACCATATTGAAATTTGATTTGTGCGGTGTTCAGGAAATCTGCGTTACAAATCTGGCACACTTTTCAAGCGTGCAAATTTTAAGTTACTCAAGTCGACGAAGTTACACTATGTTTTTAATTTTTTTGTGATTTTAAAAAATTAGGGTAGCTGCGCGACGTAGTCGCGCTTAAACCAGGAACGTAATGATAAATTATTAAATACGATTAGTAAATAATCTAACTTCTAAAGTAGTTGAGTTTTATGTTCGATATTTAATTATTTAACTTTTTTTTTTAAGAAAATTATTTAATTTCATCTTCATTATACTATATTTTATACTCTCGTCATAAAAATAACCAATAAATCTAAGAGGTTTAAAATTAGGGAATTCGCAATTAACATTAATGTTAACCACTAAAATACATATGATATTTATATAAATTTTCTTAGTATTGCTAGTTAGAAGTTCGCTTCTGATAGAATTATAACTAATTCCAACATCAATTAACAAACTGCTCCAAGAGTGTATGATGTCAAAACTTTTAAAATTTTTAGCAGAATGGTTTCTGAAAAACTTAAGTATTCTCTCTTTATGCTATTAAAAATTTTTTCAAAATAAGAATCTTTGATATTACAATTGTCTAGAGTAGTATATACTTTATACAATAATGCTACATATTTTTTTTTTTTTAAACATTTAGCAATCTTGCTAACACTTTATTAGGCTTCAATATTCAACTCACAGGTAAAATACAAATTGACTAAAGTTATCTAAAGCCCACCTAAATTACAAGTGTTTGCTAACCCGGTTGCTCTCTGTGAGTACCTATGTTTGATCTGCTATAGTAAATTTTATCTCAATATCAAAAAACTCTGCAAATGAATTCTTCAATATATTACCAAATAGTATTTACGGTCTATCAAAGACTGCTATCTTTTCTAAATCTTCTTCCCCTAGCTTTATAAACAGAAGAATTTATAGTCTCCAACTTGACTTATAAAAAAAAAAAAACACTAACACTAAAGATAAAGGGAACAACACAAAAGAGAAAAAGAAAAAAAACTGTCTAAACAACAAGAAAACAAACAAAAAGAAAAAATAAAACAAAAAAAAAAGGCAGAAAAAAAAAACAATCTATAAAAACACTATTATAGCCTGTGCCAGGCATAGTTGTAAAAATTATATACTAAATTTAAAAATCTTGTATATTTCCATTGTAAAGCTTCATCTTATTGTTAAGTCTCTTCCAACTTTACTGTCTGTTCTGGGTCAGTTTGTTAATAAGAGTGCTAATTGGTTCGTCATGTAGTGTAGGTATATCATTATCAAAACAATCCTGTGTTTATATTCTACTTTATTCGTCCGAAAATGAAAAGTATAAACAATATCGATCTTTTGGAGGGGGTAAGCTGAATTGCCCACTTTTTGTTGAAAATTTTGGTAAGATTGGCAAGAGATGGTAGAGGTAAAAAAAGAACCACTAGTTCCAAACCAAAAGAGTATGTATACTTTTCTTGCAAAGTATATCAGTGACTTGTTGACCGAGCGAAGGGTGGATATTTAAAGAACGTTAGAGAGTGAGTAATAAACTCTAAGCTAGTCAGCAAGTAGTGTATAAGAACTACTTCTAAACGACAAGTGCTCTCCGTTACAACAGTGAGTGATAAACTCTAAACTTGTTAGCAGGTAGCGTATGAGAACTACCTCTAAATAACAGGTGCTGTAGTTCCTCGACTTATCTTACTTATTACTTTTTTAACTAGTTATAATATATTTATTAAGAAAAGTTTTTGGAAAAAATTTAAAAAAAATGATCGTTGAAAAGAGTTGAAAGATTCAAGTTTATTAAATATAAAAATAAATATAAAGATTATAAAAATTTTAAATAACAATAACTATAACTTATAGTGTATTGAGGACCTCAAAGGGTGGATTAAAATAATAGAAAAGAAAATATTCTCGAAACAAAAAATTGAACAAGAAAAAAGAATAAGAGATAATATCGAAAGAAGATTTGGGATGATCAGACGTGAAGAAAAGAAAATACTCAACAGTATCCTGGAAAGGCTATGAAACAAAATTGTAATAGAAAGAATTCTTATTACAACAGATCCAATATCAGAAAAGAAAGAACTCATTCACGAACCCAATGAAGTCAAAAAAGAGATTGATGCACACTTCACAAAACAATTTAAAGAAAACTTTCGAGTCTCTGGGAAGGAAAAAGAAATATGGAAAGAAGAATACACACCACTTTCCTTTATCCAACAGAATTGATACAATAATGTTCTAGATGAAATCAAGTTAGAGGAATGGAAAGAAATGCTTCAAAAAACCTCCAACAAATCAGCTTCAGGGTTATCAAATATAGGATACATGATTCTGAAAAAGCTAGAAAAAAAAGCCACAAATCTTCTTTTAAGACTGCTCAACAGAATTTTAGAGGAAGAAATAATGCCAAAAAAGTGAAAAATTGAAATGATTTTTTCTATTCCAAAGTTATCAGAATGGGATCTACTGCTTAGTAATACAAGACCGATTATGCTACTTGAAGCAGCAAGAAAAGAACTTATAAGAATCATCCAACGAAGGCTAAGTGACATTATTATACACCATAGTATCCTTAGGGGGCCAAACTTTGCGAGGTTACAAGGAGAATATACCCAGGATCCTATTCATATTATGAATGTTTTAATAGAAGCGGCGAAACAAGAAAACAAAGAAATATGAATAATCCTTTTAGATATCAAAAAAGCATTCGATATAGTGGACCTTAAGAGGCTTCAACTCGCATTAAAAAGAATTAAAATTCCAGAAAAACTTGAAAAATTTCTAGTTAACATGTTCATAAACAGAGAGGTTAAAGTCATTACCAAGTTTGGCTTAACAAAGAGTTTCTGTCCTGAAAGAGGCATAGACCAAGGAGAAGTAATTTCCCCCCTTTTTTAGAGAATATACTTCGATCCATTACTGTATAAACTATGCAAATGCAGCTATGGTGCTAAAGCAAAATTAGAATGGCCACTAGAGTTAACACAGAGAAAAACAAAAGAAGAAGAGTTACAAGTGGCAGGTTAGCTTACACCGATGATACTACACTTCTAGCAAACTCTAAAGAGGACATGCAGAATCTAATTTATATCGCAGAATCCTTCTTTTAAATAAACAACATTGAATTAAATACTAAAAAAACAGAACTTTTGGTGATAAATGAAAAGAAGAATAAAGAAGAAAAATCAGTTCTGTTTAAAGAGAGAAAAGAAAAAATAGTTACAAAGAAAAAGAAAGAGATAGCTCGTTATCTTGGAGTATGGCTGACTGCAGCAGATATAAAACCCATAATCAAAAAGAAACTCAGTATTGAAATCAAGCAAATGGTTAATTTGCTTAGTAGAAAGAAAATATCTATAGAACAAATCAAATATATAAACAACATAGTGCTATTACCCAGAGCTGAATACAGGTTGAATATAACTATGCTCTCTAAAGAAAATTGTGACAAACTTCATTAACCAATAATAAGAATGACAAAATAAAAAGCAGGATTGGCCTCAACCGCTTCTAATTCTATTCCAACGCAAAAAGATATCTGGGGATTAAACACTCTGTGGTAACGACACACAGAACACATGATCACTGAGTGGGTAATTAGAATAAATAACTCAAATCTTGTGAGAGACCTTACTAGAATGAGATTAAAAGATGCACAGCTCGCACTCCGTTCTACAACACCAATTTGGCTCATAGAAAATGAAGAAATCAAAAAGCTAAACCTAAAGAATAATCTCAATACGAGTATACTAGTAGCAGCCAAAGATATAGGGATCAGCATCAAAAGTATAGAGCTGGAAAAAAATTGGAATATAGCTCTGGACAACAAGCCGGTAAACGAAATAAGAATGCTACTACCCAAAGAAGAGCTAAAAAGAGGTGCTCATTATCTCTGTAACCTCAATCTTTGGTGCCTAGAACAAATAACTACAAGACAAAACAACACCATGTTTACATAGCAACAAATTAAATTAATCTGAGAAGTTAAAACAATAGGAAAACTCTGCAGTGGTTCCAAAACCTGGAAGAGATAGTATTAGAAGACAAATTTTCTCGAAAGCTAAAGAGAGTCTTCATCCAAGAAAAGGATTTCAACAAGATTCAAATAAAACCTAAGAAAAGAAAGCTATTTTACAAAAGATCAAAAAAAAAATAGATAATTGGATCAAAAAAGAACGACAAAATGTCATTTATAGGCAAAATACAAAAGAAACCACTGAACCAAAAGTTACATATAATAGAATGGAAAGAGGAAAATAAAGAGAACGAACTATCTAACAACTCTCTTACATCATGTTTAACTTCCACAAATAAGACCTTAAAAATAAAAGAGAACAAAATAGAAGATATAAGCCCTTGGATCAAAAGAAGAAGTGAGGGAGGCTGGGCCTTATTAATCAGCCTTAAACACCTCAAAAACCTAAT